AACTATTTAAAATCCTGTAAACCTCTGCCGTTCTGTGATACAAATAGATAAATAGAAACTAATAAGCGATGTCATCATCATCAAGAAGGTTTCACGTGTCACCAACAATATATGCGGTTCATGTCTTGTTATTTCCTGAATATGAATAAATAGGAATGTCAGGATATGACAATGAATCTAATTTACCTTGCCACTTCAATAAATCCTAAAACTGGGATCCACTCTTTTTATTTCATTATGATCAGGAAAATTAAAAATGTTTTGAGTTTCTCGCATGTTTGCTTCTACTTATATATTTAAATCTTGAAAATTGGTGTTGAATGTGGTTGAATAAAGTATGAACATTTACTATTTCTAATATTACGAATATCTCAAACATCGAATTTTTCTTCTATAAAAATTGGAATCTATCTTTTCGATTTGATTGTAAGGGAAACATTTTCTTCGATTCAGTGAATAAAAACAGACCATTAAAATACTGTAAGCATTTTATTGAATTGTTGGCAGATTCAATTTGAATATAAATAAGAAGTATGTATTTACATATTGTAATGATTAAATTCATTTCTTAGCTAGAAATGTCAACACAAATTTTCCATAGTTATCTATTAATAGTTATAGTAATACATATTTGTAACTATTAAGAAAATAAATAAATTTGATGATGCTACTACCGAGATGATCCAAGAACTAAAAAAGTAACTAATAAATCTGTGAGGTTTATCAATATTTTTAATACATCTATTTCTCAATTGAATCATGTTGTAATATCGATTTTATTAACATTATTACGTCACAACCATTAATAAAGATTGATAAATATTCTTTACAATTTGCACCAATTATTCCCTTCAAAAGTCAACACATACTTGAAAAAGAGTTCTGTGAATTTAACTTTTGTCTGCTGGGCATCTTGTATAAATGGTATCCTAAGTTTTAATCTATCAGGCTTCGAGAACGAATAGAACAACCAAAAATACTTTGATTTATAATATAAACTTATCTCTGAAATATAGGGGATTTAAGATCCCCGAAAAATTCCATTCTTTGGCCAAGTTTCCATAACATATCATCATGTTTATTTGATTGATAATAGTATTTCAAAAAGAACCTTCCATTTTATTCGAAAAACAGATCACTTTCGAGTTATTATTATTTTTTTAAATCTAAAATAAACTTGTCACAGTTCAATAAATTGAAAATCATTGTTCTTTACAGTATACAAGTATACAATTTTTTATTACGAATACAATTTTAAATACAATGTAACCAACAAAAGTTCGGAAAATTCGAAGTATGGAAATTTGTCCCTTACTAGGTACCCCTTAGAAAAACTAGGCACCCCTTAGAAAATTTGAAACTTATTAGGACAATGTTTTTTATTCTTAACGATTACTTTGCATTTAAAATTGTATTTTCAACAACCCTATAAACGATTTTGTGAAATGAATAGTTTTAGGGCTATTTTCTTTTTATTCAACTGTGCAGTAGCTAAGCTTATTTTGGATTAAAAAAAATAGTAATAACTCGAAAATAATTTGTCTTTTTATCTTTGCAATAAAATGGAATGTTTTTTTCTTTGAAATGCAATTGGGAAGCAAATGAACTGTTCAAATTTACAAATATTCAGTGTTCGAGATATCCCAGTATCTGAGCCACTTGTTTCACAAAAGTGTATTATATATTACAGTATTTTATGGTAACTGAACCATAGCACTGCGGCCTGATTAGGCCAATTGTGCGTCCCACTACTCCTATTCAGCAAGTAGATTTGCCCTTTTTACAAAATCCAAAAGCTTCCTTGCTGACACTTCTCTCAGTTCCTTGGGTTCCAAATAGGGTCTCCCAAGGAGCGCCATTCTGCTACGTGCAAATCCCGGGCACTCGCCCAGAATTTGCAGAGAAGTTTCATCCGCCGATTCACATCCTCGGCAGACCGGACTGTCTACAAGCTTTAGCTTATGTAGATGTTTCCTAAAGTGACAGTGTCCCGTTATGAGTCCTGTCACTCTCTTGAGCCGGATTCTATTCAAGCTCAGTAAATCATTCGCTCTTTCCTTCGAAGGATACTCGATGAGCTCCTTAGAATGGCTATGTCCTGGCCTTGAAGTCCAGTATTTCCTGTATTCTGTCTCAGTCCATTTGCCCAGATCCCGCCTGACCACACTGGGAGATGTACCGCAGAAGGGCTCCCGGTCAATGAACTCTGTCTCGGATCCTTTCCTAGCAAGTTCATCCGCTTTCTCATTTCCACAAATGCCTTTGTGCCCTGGCACCCAACACAGTCTGACTGTACTGTTGGTGGCCAGTTCAGTCAGCATTTGTAAACAATCCCACACCAGTTTTGAACTTATCTAACTGATGTCAATATAATGTACACCAAATTTAGTTCTAATCTTCAATCAATTCTCAATTCTCAATGTTTCAGAGAACATTTACAGTAAATTATATTACTTGGGTACTTTTAACACCCTGTGTCTTTAAGTTTATAATAAAAGTAGCGTTATTTTTTGTTGTGCTATTCGCAGCGGAAATCTAATACAATGAAACTGGGACAGCCTGTAGACCATACTTGAATTGTTATGAAGGTATGGAAGGAAAATGGAAAGTGAGGAAACTCACTTATTTTTAATTTTACGGAAAAATATAAATCTTATTGAAATTTTGTTTCATGTTACACAAATACACAAAAATGTAAAGTCTAAATGAAAGCAGCAAAATAGGTTAAAAACATGAATAATTCGACTTAACCGACGACTTAACCAATGTGCAACATCTGGTTCAGCTACGGAAAATATCAATCGATCTAAGGAAAGTATTTTTCAACTTGGGTTTAGAACAGAAGCACTTAAAAATAGGTTACCCATCATTTATTTGAAACAATTGATTATCCCAAATTTACCAAAGGTTTTATTTTTATACAATAAGCAATTATTTTGAAGGTGAATCAAATAACTCTAATTTATAATTCATTATTTATAAAAAAAACGTCGCTGTCCCCATCTCTACGGCATTGATTATTTTATTTTTTCGGTGATACCACGAAATAATGTCTCGAATCAATCGGTATTACACCAAGTTTCAGATTTTTTATGCAAGTCATTTCGAAAGTAAAAAGAAATGGAAAGATTTTGTTCTAGAAATTTGCAAGGCCGTACTTTCGTAAATAGTCCAATATTACAAATTTCAGACCTATATCGATTATTTGCAATTTTTGCAAGGTTTTTGAAATTCTTCTACACAATCGGTTATATCATCATATCAGCAGAACGTTGACTATACATCAGCATGGGTTTATGAAGGGGCGTGCCACTGCCACCAATTTCGTTAATGTTACACAATTCTCCGAAATCTTAGACAAACAGTCTCAGGTCGATGTCGTATATACTGACATGACGAAGGCATTTGACAGACTTGATCATGGCATGCTGTTAAGGAAATTATTATCGTGTGGTTTGTCGTTAAACTTAATCAACCTGTTCACTTCTTATCTGATCGATAGAAAACAGTATGTCATGTTCAATGGTTTTAAATCTACTGAATACGTAGCTTCATCTGGAGTGCCTCAGGGAAGCAACTTGGGCCCATTATTTAATATTTTTATAAATGATATTGTTAGTATAATAGATGTGCAATGCCTTCTTTATGCAGATGACCTGAAAATTTATGTGTGAGATTCAATCTGAGGCTGACTGTGTTCGGTTATATGATAACTTAAAACGTGTTGTAGAATGGTGCAGTTTAAATCATCTTGAGATCAATGTCGCAAAATGTAATGTAATGTCCTATTCCCTCAAAAAAGACCTAATCAGTTACGATTACAGGATAAACGATATCGTCATTCAGAGACCAGAAACTGTATCTGATTTAGGTATAATATTTGACAAGCGTCTATCCTTCAATGCGCATATAGATAACGTAGTTGCCAAGTCTAATCGTATGTATGGTTTTATAGCTCGATATAGTAGGGACTTTGCTAATCCTGTAACATTAAAAATCCTATATTACGCGTATGTAAGGACAAAGTTAGAGTATGCCTCTGTAGTATGGAATCCGTATTATCAGACACAATCTGTCAAGCTGGAAGTTGTTCAAAGACGTTTCCTGAAACTGTTGTCTTTCAAATCTGATGGCATCTACCCTGAGATTGGTATATCTCATGACTTTTTGCTTCAGAAACACGGTTGGTTTTAAAAGTTTAAGTATTCGTAGGCAGTGCAGTAACTATTTTCTTGTTTAAACTATTGAACAATCAAACTGATGATTCTAACATTTTGGAAAAGTTAGGGTTAAATATTCCTAGGTTCTTGTTACGCTCTGTTGCTACGTTCCATCTTCCTGTCCCTCGAACTAATGTTTTAAGCAAGTCTCCTTTATTTCAATGTTGTTCTAACTACAATTTAATAAGCAGCCAGCTTGATATATTTAACACAACCATTGCCTGTATCAAAAAAGTGTTTTTGGGTTAGTTCCTGTTTGTGTGTTATTTTATTTGCTGTTATTTAGTGTATTTTCATTGTTACCTCATCCTGTAATTAGTGTAAACTGTTGGATGATGTAATTTTTAAAATAAAAAAATTAAATATGCCCAATTAAACAAAATTTACCAAAAACAGTTTTCCAAGCTTATTACAGTAATAATAATTTACTATACGAAATACAGTTACGGACTACCCTGGTAAATATGCATTGAAACATAATTAATAACTCACAATACGCAAGAAACAGGTTTTTTTTTTTGTTCGTGTGGAAACAACTCGATGAGAGTTACGAGTTGTCAAAGTAAGACATAACATAATAGCACATTTTATATGCCGTCAATAGAAACAAAATAATACCATATTCGTCAATCACTGACTTTACTCATAATCAGATAAACTCTTGAAGTAGTAAATTATTTATTTAATTTTATATCATGACTGGTTACTTAGTTATTAGGTATATATAAGAAAATGTTAACAATATTATTCATAAAATTATTTTATTTATTTACTTATTAGGTACTATAATTAACTCGTCCTTCTGAAAAAATAACAGGAAGCATCTGCTGTGCGCGAAAGTGTTAAGTGAGATCATAAACATGCTCCAATTTAAATCAAGTGGAGCATTCTAAGCACGTTCAAAACAAAACAGTGCCATTATTTAAAACGCAACTTGACTGTCATGCCAAATGCGAGAGGATCCAAGGCGTACGCGATAATTCCGTAACTAAAAAACCCCGTCAGCCTCCCCACGGCTGACATGTTTCGATAGTTTGCCCGTCCCTGAAAAGCACCAGGCTGGCGGGCACGGAACTCACCCTTGAAAATGGCGGCGACAAGAGCTGTCTCACCACCTACATTTTTAATCCCGTCGACACGTGCACAGGCACACCCAGCCCGGAGAAGTTCCCCGTGAGGACTCCGGACGGGGAGATCAAGTTCGCCTCGCGAGAGGATGTCGTCCACAACGCCATCGAGACGCATATGCACCCCAACTTCCTGTACGGGAAGATCCTGCCCGACGGGAGGCCGAATTTTTTAACTGACTATGAGTTGAGTTACAGGAACTGTAATTTCGGTGCTGCCGATCATTCGAAGTGTTGTGTGGGCGGTCACTTTGGCAGGTTTGTACAGAAAATTTTTGTGTTTCTCCCGAATGCTACCACCCGCAAAATAAAGGAGTATGTTCGATTTGTATGTCTTTTTAAAAATTGTTGTCCAAACTTGAAATTTATTACAGGAAATACAGATACTTACCAACATTCCTGTTTTTAAATAAATCTTTTGACTATACTGAGAAAAAGTTGTATTAAAAGTGTACTCATTTGTAGCAGTCCTGACTATAATTTAAATATAAAATAGATATAACTAACTACAACTTGAGCCACCATTTCCAACAAGTTGTATATAAAATGTATTTAATTTTACTACGATTTTGTTAAATATATTCATTTTTTATTTTGCGGTAAGATGCACATACTGTTTTTTAATACTTTCAGTGTTAAAATTGTCGAAGAATTTGTTTTCTGGCCCTAAAAAATATATACCACAAATTATTGCATATATTGATTTTATTTTAACTCAGCGATAATTACATTAATTAAAGTTAGAAAACAAACACACTTAAATGTGGGAAGAAAATAATACAATCTTGAAATAAAAACAAATACTACACATGTGTAGTTAACAAACACATTTGGAAAACACTATAAAAGATGTATAAATATGTGGTAGATACCCTATTCTTAAAACGTCCATAAATATAACGAGCGTTCAAATAAAAACGTGGTCGAAGTTGGCTCTGACACATTGGACGTAGGGAGTAGCTTATAGCGACCAACTTAACCTCATTTCTCAACGAGCTGTATAGCAGCTGTCAGTTTCAATAACGTTAATGACTATATAACTTTATTTTAAAGAATAATCGTGATAACAATAACAAACAATTAAAGGAGCTGCTGAAAGTGTCCCCCTCCTTGTTCCAAGCACTTTTCACACCTGTTCCTCAAATAATTAAAGACATTTTCTAAGATGCTCGGGGTATTGTTAATTTCAGGAATCTTGTCTATAAGTCGAACCTGCAGATGGTTTAAATCAGGAATAGGCAGTTCAAAAATAGTGTTTTTAAGGTAAGGCCACAAAAAGAAATCACACGGCGTAATATCACATGACCTCGGTGGTAATTCATGTTGAGCATTGAGACTTATTAGTCGATTTTGGAAAACTTCCCTCAACATATTCATCGTCTCGCCTGCCGTATGTGCCCTTGCGCCATCTTGTTGAAAGTAAAAGTTTGTAATTTCGTTTTCTTCCAGCTGGTTAACAAAAGGAGCGATAATTTCTTCTCTATACTTTTGCGCAGTAAGAGTACCATTAATAAAAATATGTCCATAAATCCTCCTTCGATTGAGAGCACACCAAACTCCAATTTTTTGAGCGTGTAGAGGGCCCTCGACAAAAAAGTTATCTGGTTTTTCAGAAGACCACATTCTCATATTCTGTGAGTTTATGTAACCACTTAAATTAAACCAGGCTTCATCAGAAAAAAATGTGATATTATGAAGTTCACCGTAGTTGTTTAAAAACCACAAAATACAGCCCGTCGCGGAAAATCAACTTCATGAAGTTCTTGCTGACAAGTTAAACGATAGGAGAACAAACGCAAATCTTTTTTTAACACTGTGTGGCAGGTACCAACTGATACTCCCACCATTTGTGATAAAACACGTACAGAAGTTCTTGGCGCATTTTCCATTATTTGTTGGACATTTTCTTTTAATTCTTCAGTCCGCTTTTTAGGTCGGCCGCTTCCTTCTTTTCTTGTTACACTGCCCGTTTCACGAAAAACATTAACACAACGCTGAACTGCACTTTGAAAAATTTTGTACTCAACAACGCCGGGAAATTGATTTTGAAATTCTATGAAACATTCCTCAATAGAATACTTCCATATTCCATCAATCTTGCGTCCATTTCTAAAGTAGGACTCTATGATAAACACTTTTTGTTCTTGAGAAAACACCATTTTAAACGCTTTTTAAAACGAAAATATTCAAATTGATAGCGTCGATATAGCGCTTTGACAGATGACGTTTAAGTTCATTTGCTATACGCTACGCCCTACGTCCAAATTTTCAGAACCAACTTGACCACGTTTTTATTTGAACGCTCGTTATAATTAATTATTTTTAGAAAAATTATTACCACAAAAACACAAGTTTTGCGTGTATAAGTCTATACAAATATGAGAGCACGATCGATGGTTTCCAAGGTTCTGCTAATTTTTGTCTTGTAAATATAGAGATGTTTTCTCGTAGCATCTTCCTGATAAAAGTTTTAGTTAATTTGGTCTTCCTAATCATGTTTCGTTTAGGATAAGATTTAATAGATTTTATTGACCTATATTTACTGTGTGTATCACCCAAATCGAATAAATTCAATAATAAATAAATGGGGACGGGTTCGAAAAAACGCTCGGAAACGTCGATTGGTATTTTTAGTTGCGCATATTTTTCGTCTTCTTAAGTCAGCGAAATCGAGGGGTTTAGTTTTGTTTGCAATACTTGTGACATATCCCCATGAGAAGTATAATGGTGTCAGATCAGGGGATCAAGCTAGCCATACCATCGATCCTCGTCTCCTTATCCACCGATTTGGAAATATTCGGCTGCAGTACCGCCGAACACTGATTTGGTAATGGGTCGTTACTCCATCTTTCTGAAACCATATCATAGTCTCTGGAACTTGTGGGTTCGCTTAATCTGGATATAAGTTTGTCAGAGTTGGTACGACATTATTTTGGAGCAGTGCTAAATAATTATAGCCCTTCAACTTGTCATCAATGAAAAAGGGACCTATGATAATATGATCTCCGACAATTCCTGCCCAAACATGAACTTTTTCAGGGTATTTCGAATGTTCTTCCGTAATCCAGTGAGGATTTTTCCTAGACCAATAACGGCAATTTTGACCATTAGCATGACCGTGAAGTGTAAAGGTGCACTCATCAGAAAACAAAACATGTTCTAATTGGATCACATTATTCTCTAACATTGCCATCATTTGTTCACAAAAATACGTCCTCCTATTGAAATCTTCTTCCATGAGCTCCTGAGTTGGTTTCATTTTATAGGGATGCATTTTATTTTCCTTTAATATTCGAATAGTCGATTCGGCCCTAATCGAACATTAGGGCTGTTTTTCGTCTAGAAGTATGTGAGTTTTCCTCAAACTCAAGCATAATATCCAATTTGGTATCATCACTTATTGCATTGGCAGCTGCTTTTTCTATCTGCCTTACATGTCCAAGCTCGCGAAACTACTTTTCTATTTTATTAATAATTGTCCCTTGGGATATAAGGCGGCAAATTTGGAAATTTCCATAATCAATCATCCGTAGAATTGTTATTTTGTGCATTTCTGTTAAATGAACCATTTTTCTGATATCGAGTTAACGAAATTCAAACGACTGACAACTACTGTCATGCAGACAACACGTTGCTAAGGCCATGCGTTTTAAACAAAAGTACACAAAACTATTTATAGTTTTTTTTTATTTCATATCAGTAAAAAGGAACGCTGAAATTGTTCTTGCTTGCTTTCTCATTATCAAGAGCTAAATGGGAAATAATATTGAGTGTGTTGTAACGAATTTCTGTAATAAAATAATTTTCTTTTTTTAATGTTAATTTTTGCAATAAAATTGAAAACACTTATAATATTTCTGAAACAGTTGAAGATAGGTATAGGACATTGTACATGAAATATGTCTAGAAATTTCTGAAGAATCCAAAAATTGTATAATGTACCCTGTTGCATTTAAAATAAGAAAGTTGGTATTGACCACTGTTACATGACACCCTGTATAAAAAGTTTTTGTTGAAAAAATGCGCAACTAAAAATACCAATGGACGCGTCCGAGCGTTTTTTCAAACACACCCCCATTTATTTATTATTGAATTTATTCCATTTGGCTGATACACACTGTACTTACCTATAAGTAAAGAACTATGTTGTACAGAGTTTTCAATAGAAAATGATTACTTTAATAGTTTTTAATTTTGATTTTAAAGAAAAGGTTTTCTTTAATACTCTGTAGGTCCTGCAATTTTTATGTATTTGAAATGGTGAAATTTTTCTGATTTCAGAATTATGTCATGTTTGCGTCGGTAGTTTTTTCTAGATAATACTTTTTGATTCATATCGACGCTATAACTGCACCTTTGTCATGTCATTGTTATTAAATTTAAATTACATTGTAATAAAGAGAAATTGATAACAATTTGAACAAATTGACAAATATATTTCATCTCTTAAATGCAATTTCGAAGAAGGTTTTAGCACGATAAACCAAAAAAATTGCCCTAAAATGTCAATTAGGTTGTTTTAAATACGGTGCGGTGGTATATATCTGTATATATACATTTCAAATGGCCAAAAAATAAATAAATGATTTTTATACTGAAAAAATGCCTTGTGAAAAATTACAATATCGTGCGACTTCTTTTCTGCAAAAAAACTTTCACGATTATAATGCGTATAAAAAATGTTTCCTGTAATTCCAAAAATAATGTATTAACTCTTATTGTAGTAAAATTAAAAAACGTCCTATTGAATTCAATAATTTATATCTACCTTTATGTTTGTAGCAGAAGGTACATATTGTGAAAATATTTAATAAAACATGTTTTGCCACAATGTTGTTTCTATATAAAATTATTTACAGAAATTTATAAAGATATATTGAGGTAGATCTGACCTAGACATGCGCAATAAGAATTCTTTACACCTTTAGATTACTTTATTAGGTATATTTTTATCACTATACAGATGTGTTAAGTGCCATTCAAAACACACATGTATTAAGTGTCACACAAAACAAATTATAAGTAGATTTGCTTGAAAAGCTAGAACCAATACCTAATCAAACTTTCTTATTTATTAGCACATTTTAGTTGCAATTGTTGTAATCTTTATTAGTATTTTCGAAATTCATTTGTTACCTGTACTTGAGTACTGTTAGTGTTTTCTTTGAAAATTTCTTCTTCCCCTACATACATAAGTGTGTTGCTTTTATAACTTTAAATCAACGTAATAATAATTGTTTGAATACAATAATTCAAATATTAATAATTTATGGTGTAAAATTTTTTCAGTACTTCAATTTAATTTTTGGAAAATTTCTAAGCACTTTAAAAATTTTCAACAGTAATGTGGTAACAAAAGCTACGATTTATGGAAATTTTTTTAGAAATTCAATAAAATTTTGTGATTTTATTAATATTTATTTAACACATCTAAATAGACTCTCGACCAAAATAAAAAGTGAACATATACAATTGTAATAAACTTAAATTCAACAATTTAAATAGGCATAATCTGTTGGTATTGCATGCCACAAATTGTAATATAGTCAATTGTGCTACTATTGTATAAACTTTTAATACAACTTCTATTTCCGTGATATACTACTTGAAATGAAAAGTTTACATGAAAAGTACTACTTAGTACTTTTCATGTAAATAATTTATTAGAAAAGCAACCAATAATTGTCATAATTATGTCTTTGTTTATAACGCCCAACTATTAAGGTAGGTATCTAATTACATAGTAGTAAAAGGTACATAATCATATTGAATATACTTATTATTATTGTCACTTATACAAACAACTCTCGTAGTAGCTGATGAACTTAACTGCAAATAAAGTCAATATCTCAATTTTGAAATGTAGCACCTACGTTAAAAGTCCCTGATGCGGAACTATTTAAATTACTTACATTTTTCAGTTTAATAAAATGAAATATAGATTTGGTTGACATTGGTATATTTTGAATATTTTTATGAATTCATGATATATTGCCAAGAATAAAAATAAAACAAATGCACTTCATTAAAAATTCAAACTTCTACTTTCTATTGACGGACAGGACTTGTTTTGAAAGATATTCGTATTAAGAAATATATTAGTGCCATCAATGTTCCCTATTGCATTTCCAAAGATATTGACACCTATATTAAAGCATTCGGATCAAATACCACCAATATAAGTAGCTACTTATATTTTATATTAATCTAGAGGCTTTAAATCATAAACCTAAAAGCCGATTTACAAAAATGTTAATAGAAAAATTCGTATCCGAGATTAAGAATGTTTTATCTTTATTAATAATAGGAAAATATGCCGATGGCAACATAATACTGAAGAAAGATAAATGACTGATAAGGTTCATAAATAAAAAAGCCAAAGACAGTATAACTCGTTATAGTTTCCATAAAGGCTTATTAGAAACAACTGAAATTTTTCTAATCTACATTAACAATAAATTAATCTTTCAATTTAATTGCTACATATTGCAAAAGATAACACTTGCAAACATGCTAATCATAATTTAAAATTTGAATTGATGTGAATACTATATAAAAATTTAATTAAGCTGAAACATAAGAAATTGATTGACAAATGACTGACCATCATCTATATATTTATAAAATGTTCTTTTTCAAGCGGATGCTATAATAATGCTTTCTTGATTCTCATGAAATTTTTATATCCATTTATTTATATTTGGTTGATAACAAACTAATAAATCTTGGCAAAAAGATAAATCATCCCCCTGTACAAATAGGATACACGTTTTGTTAGCCAACTCCTTTAAAGACCAAAAGTTAACATAATATGTTCGAAAACTTTTATATTTGGAAGCTACGCTCGTGATAAAAAATCGATAATTGCGGCCCTGCCCACGGATGTAGTAAATTGCCAATAACAGAAATTGGCTATTTATAAGATATACCTTTTTTCCTGAATAACCGTTACTAAATAAATTTACGTAAAAAATCCAATCCATAATGTTTATTATTAACGTAAAAGAATATCTAAACTATTAAATGCTGCGAACGGAATATCAGCGTATTCATTTAAAAAAACATTTGATATTTTTTTACTAGCAGAAATCCATAAATTTATACTAATGAATAATGTAGGTAAATTTAACCGTCAAAATTAACAACTAAAGCCGTCCGAATATAACTCTATGAATTGTATTTTAGAAAAGTGTCATTTTAATACTTTAAGCTGCGATTTAAATCACGAATCTAAAATTGGTATTCAAATTGTGTTAAAATTATGTGCATATTATATGAAGTTGCCAGTAATAATTTACATTCTTATGGCTGAAAACTTCCCGCAGTCGCGAATTGATGAACACAGATCGAACAAGCTTCTCTCATTTCCTAACTCCTAAAGATATTTTCTGTACAAACCTCCACCTTATAGGGACTTGAGTTTCGGTCATTTATATACGATAAGTAGAAGTGATAAGGAAGAAAGGACTTACGATGAGCCCTACACAGGCGATTTACCTAGAAGGTCGTGGTTGTGTTGTCCTGGATCGCAGCACCATGTCGAATGCGAGCAGCCGCCCCTCCTGGAAACCGCAAGCAAGTCGCCGTCGACACCGTCGGAAGCCATCACCAAAGCACCTAGTCACAATAATATCTGCTCTGGGACATGCGTACGTATTCACTGTTATTATTTTAAAGTAGATAAATATACTAATCTGAAGAACTGTCCAGAATCTAGTACTACGAGAATTACTCCTGTACCCAATTAAAAATAAATATCAGTTATTTTATATTTTATGAAATAACAAGCTTTCGTAGAATTGCCCCGCCTATTTGCGGGGGCTTTTTATCAAGAATTGCCTAGGATTTTGAAATAAGTGAAATTATAATGTGCGTTCCAAAATAAACAGGACTTTTAAAAATAAGAACAAATATTTTTTTGGCAAAACCGATTTATTTTATTCAAAATGGTCCCCTTCCGACAAAATGCTTTCCTTTCTTCGGTAAATGCATTCCGAGAAGTCTCACGGTACCAAATCAGGCGAATATGTGGAATAGTTGACAGTTAAAATGAAATTTTTGGTCAAAAAATCGGTCACAAATGTCGATCGATGAGAAGGCGCATTATCATGCAACAAACGCCAATTCTTTCCTGCGCGATATTCTAGCCGAATACGAGAATACAATGCACCAAACGCTTCAAAATGCCAAGATAGGATTGTGCATTAACGGTGGGCAATGCCTTTGGAACCGTAAAAACAAATCAACATTGTCTTCACTTTGTCTCCAAACAAGATTTTTTGGATTTTGGCTCGTCTGACGCTTTTTTCGGCACTTTGGCGCTTGGTTTCTGGACCATTTTGAAAACACCACGTTTCATCACCAGTCACAATGTTGTAAAGGAAGTTTTTGTTCTTTTGATGATGTCCTTCAAATGTTGAATTCTGAGCAATTTTTGATCATCTGTCAATTTGTGTGGAGCAAACCGTGCACACACTTTTCGGTAGCCTAAATGTTCGACTAAGATGCGATAAATTGATATTTTTGAGATGCTCAATTTCAATTCCTACATTCATGGAAGATATTGCCTGATCTTTGGCAGTTTTTAAACTGATGTCCGCGACGGGATTATCACCATCAATTGAAACATTTCGGTAAAAGTTTTACCAGATTTTAAACAAAACTTAATTTAGCCCTTTTAATCCAATAAAGTTGTGCTCGCCTTATAGGCGGCCTCAAGAAAAAAATACAAACAGATGATTTTTTCAGGGTTGCTTGGGGATTGCCTCGTGAGTATCCAACCATAAGATCACACTCGAACTTCTGGTACGACTAAAATGACCTTAACAAAAGTTGTAGGGGATCAAATTCTGAACAACTTTTATGTGACAAAAATTGGGCACGCTGCAGTGGTGGTCTTGTAAACATGTTTTTACAAAGCGTTGGCGACAGTGGGTGTGGGGCAAGCGTTGTTAGGCTGTGTGTTAGCTGACAGTTGCATCAGTTCATGTTTAGTTTTGTCATATAATGCGCAGTAACTCGTTAAGTATTAGAGATACAAAAATATTTTGTAAGGAAAAGTTGTTCAAAATAAGTCATTTTTTTGTAAAAATATGTTTACAAGACCACTTCTGTGGCGTGCCCAATTTTTGTCACATAATGCGTAGTAACTCGTTAAGGATTCAAAAAAATTTTATGAGGAAAAATTGTTCAAAATTTGATCCTCTACAACTTTTATTAAGATTATTTTGCTCTAAATAAATGTTTAGGCAACCATCCCCACAGCGCAAGTCGTACCAGGAGTTCGAGTGTGATCTTGACCCTGAAAAAATCATCCTGTTTGGATTTTTTTATATAAAATGACATCTTCATTGGATTATTTGTTCGATGCTTATTTTTGTACCGATGACACAAATATACTGTCATTTCAGACGCAATAACTCCGCTTCTATTCGTCCAAATGTCATGAAATTTTGACAGTACATCAGTGAGAGATCTACCGTATCGATGCATTACCAATAGATAACCTCACAAGAAATACTTATTTTTGAAAATCTCTAAAGCAACTTTTAAATCTTCCTTCCAACACGCGTCAACAGTCATCGACGTTTATTCTGAAGAAAAGTGTCTGCATTTACTGCTTCATCTGGGGGTTTAAAGTCAACCGAATCACTTCATTGATTATTGTTTATTCTCATAATAAATGAAAGTTCCGGAAATATCTACTGCTATTCAAAACTTGATAAAATTTGATATATACTTAGGTTGCCTTAATCAATTTACTTTGAGACTAGATTCTGGATGATAATGATATAGATTTAATAAATTAAGGTTATCTGAGTCCGAAATTATTACTAATGTACCTGAGCCCAAAAGGTACATAAGCAACAAGCAGGCGAAACAGTAAAAATGCAGGTTTTGATTGATGTACATATAACATTTTTCATTTAGCGTCTCTTCCTTGATCAGCATAGGTATTTTCTATACATTATCACTTTTTAGATGTAGTATTAACTAGTTTATTATATCCGATTATAGCGGACGTCAAGTAAATGAATCCGTGAAGTAATGTGGCATTTAAAAATTACTTTTTTCGTCTAAAAATTAATTAAATGAATTCGTGTAAATGAATTTTCAGGTAAGAGCGACGGAGTGTACGAATACCTTTAATTACCCAATATATAGCTATTTAAAAATCGTTTTTTCTTTAAGAAACAAAAGGGGCAATTAAAAACGGAAATTGTAATACTAAAAATGACCCACCAACTTCCATAAAACTATAAAGTTTGTTTTTAGGAACCAGAAATATGAATTCCTGTCAATTTCTCGTAAAATGTTCAGTTCAATAAAACTTAAAAAATCGTACAAATTAAATTAGAATCAGTAAAGTACTGCTAACAAAACGGGTTATCACCTTTAAATCTCCGTTACTGGATTGCGTAATTTATTTTGTGAGTACTGCTGAATGATCAGCCATGAGGCTGTTATAAATAATATAGTAAATGTCAGGTTTTCGAAAAAGCGCCTTGGTGAAGATTGCAACGCCCTCTATTTTTTCAACGAAGTAGGTATATAAGGAATATATTTGGCTTCCTTCCATTATATTTGTGCATTCTGTATACCCTCGAAATTTGTTAGTTCATTTTGTATAATGTTAAAAGTTATAAAAATTGCAATTTATTCATAATTTCAGGATTATATTGCGAAAAATAACACATCACAGTCTTTGGTACATATAATCGCTATAAGTTCTATTATTTCTCCCATCTTTTCTTCGGTGTTCCAGTGTTTTTCATGTCAAACTTTTCCAATTTTTTTCTACTTCTCATACATTCTGCTGATATTATTTTACCTACCTTTTCATATAAAAAAAATATTTTGTACCTTTGTCCTTATTTCATCTCTCCGTAAATATTTAATTTCTATTACCTACATTATTCCCTTTTTTCTTCCTTGTATAAAATTATTGGGGTGACTTTCCCGTAAGATGTTTTTATAGCAGGTATACCTGTATATTCTACTTCTAATTCTTCTTATTCTAATTATATTTTTGATTTTTGGAATTATCATTACAAACTTCAGCATAATATCCGCAACAAATTTTTACTTTAAATTTTTTTTCTACCAAAAGATATGCATAAAATATTTACTACACATTTCAGTTTTTGAATTTTCTATTATTTTGCGGTAGAAATATGTGATGGTTAATTATGTAAATTGTTGAAATTTACGCATTTGAATTATGTTTCTGTTGTAACTAGCAAGCATACAATCAATTATATGATTCCGATACATACAGGGCATCCCAGAAAGGTTGGGTTACCGCTCGACCATGGATTCCTGGAATTAAAATAAAACAATACGGACCAACATACCGTTATACAAAAGTAAGTAAGTAAAATATAACCGCTGATTCTGATACAACAAGAAACATTTTTTTAGTACTTACCTAAAACTACTTTAGCTAGAAACTTCTTATTTATTCTATATTCTGCACATGAAATGCTTCCTAATGATACTACAACCATTCTAGGAATATTAAATAAAATTGTGATATTTTAACAGCATAACAGTTTTTTTTATATCCAAATATTCGAAATTCGGTAATCCCCTGTATTTCAAAGTATTTACTAGCCAAAATTGACCTTCTTTTATGTGAAATTCATAGCAAATATCAAAATTTTAGATGAAAAAATAATTTTTTTAAAATTAATTTTGTGTTACAAAATGTAAACCATTGGCACACGTATAAAAATGGTATAGGCTGGACAAGATGGTGGAGTACCCAAAAAATAACACTCTGTATCTTATTTTCTTATATATTAAGCATAAGTGTTAAAAAATGTTGTTTCAAGGTAATACATTCAGATGTTGCGCGTAGACGTTAAACTTTGTATATTGTTCATTTAAGTTCATGCAGATATCCGCTACTATTGGCCGTTGTTGGTACTGCCATTTAAACATAATTGCCTATTCATTTAATGATCATTAGTCAATTTCAGTCTGTTAAAAAAAAAACTTATTTTCAATAAATTAATGTTTTAAGGTAGAAAACTTTATTAAACTTTTCTGCTTTTTCTGATAAACATATAAATGATTGAAAATATAGTATAAAATATATCCTATCGTTGTATCCTTTATTTTCTTTAGCAGGATATTTACGACTACGTTAGGTATAAAATTTGTTGGAGATTTTTCGTGATAACACTAAAAGGATACAGAATCTAAACAGTAATTAATAATTATTTGACACGTAATATAGGCTACGAATACTTTCACTGCTGTGTATAACAAAAACCTAATTTTCGGGCTTTTATTACGTTTTTCATGCCGCCAAACGGTTTCATTAATCATAACTTTATTTTCCTTCCGTTCACTAATGGATTTTCTTGGGTTTTTTCCTCCGCACAAAAAATTACGTCGAAAACTTTATTAATAAACAGTATAATAATAATAGCATATCTGTATTCGGCAGATAAAAATAATATAAACATTAATTTTCGACTGAATTCAATTAATATAAGCTGTAGGTATAATGTGCAGTTTGAACATGAACCAAATTAAAAATTTTACATATATATTTCAGTGTTCTAAATGTTCTGTGTGTGACTGATATTATTACTTACATTTGTTAAAATTACGTAAGTATTTTTTATTTATTATACCAGAA